ATGGCCCCACGGGGACCAGCGAGGGCAGTTTTATGGCTTGACACACTCAGTGAAAGATGGCTTCATTTTTTAAAGTTTATTTAAATTTTTTCCATATGAGGGAGCTAGAGCCAGCACCCTCCACCACGGGATGTCACACCACAGTCCGCTCAGGGCTCAGCCAACCTGAAACGTGCACACCACACCTGGAACGTCCAGGGAGGGGACAGGATGTAAATCTGGGGGCCCAGCTGCACCACCATTGTGTCACCGCCTGGCCCCAATGTCTTTTTTTTCTCTCCTCAAACTAGCTATAGGGTATATGCACTCACCAGAGAGAGACCGAGACAGAATGATTAAGCACCCCTGGAGGGATGGCCACGCTGCAAGCTCTTCTCCATTCCTCTCAGGACTTGGGGCATGCACCCAATGCCATTCTTAAGCCCCTAGGCCCGGGACTCAAACCGTGCAGATGGCCCAGTGAAATCTAGCCGCCTTAACTGCCATGCGCTGGCTGGCCTTCTGCCTTGAAGCTAAAGCACCTAGTTAATTTTGAATATCATTTCAGGGTAGAACATTAAATTCTGATTGAAGTTCGGGATGCCAGGTCTGAAAAAATGGAAAAGGCCTTGGGTTTTTAATACATAGCTCACTTTTATTTATTTATTTTTTTAAAATTTGTTAGAAGGTCACATAACTCACTTTTATTTATTTTTTTAAAATTTGTTAGAAGGTGTTGGAGAGAGACAAAGAGAAAGTGAGAAAGCATCTTCCATGGGGCCTGGTCGCACCACCGTCCCTTCTCCACTCCTCCCTCCCTTTGGGATTTCGGGTGCACACGCACATGCGTCCTCCGTGTTTCTCAAGCCCCCGGGTCTAGGACTCAAACACGCAGCTGCAAAGAGAAAGTGAGAAAGCATCTTCCATGGGGCCTGGTCTCACCACCGTCCCTTCTCCACTCCTCCCTTTGGGATTTCGGGCGCACACGCACATGCGTCCTCCGTGTTTCTCAAGCCCCCGGGTCTAGGACTCAAACACGCAGCTGGCCACGTGGCTACCAGCTGCCTTAACCACTACACCACGGGCTGGTCCTTGGGCATATTCTTAACCCCAAGTAGTTGGTGATTTCTTTTTTTTCTTCATTCTCCATTCCATGGAATCTTTGGCCTCCCCTGATTCCCTGATCTCTCTTTCTTTTCTGTCTTTTGTATGTAGAAAAATGTATTTTTGTACCATATCACACCTTGAAGAGAAACCTTTTTTAATATCTTCAAGGCTGTAGGATATATTAGTCCCACCCTTTGCTGAATGTGACGTCCAACATTCTGATGAGAACGACTATGGGTCTGTTATAGTTAAGACTCAAGTTTTAAGATGTCATCGTCAGTGTTAATTTCCTGAGCTTCAGTATCGCAATAAATACTTGCTTTACTAGAGCAGAAAAGAGAAGGACCAAGCATCTCTGAGCTGCTGGATCCGTGTGGGTGTGGGGGGTCACTGTTCAGTGACATCTTCCCGGATGCACTAGCGAAGCTGCTTCTCTGACACGGCTCCCCGGCACCGTCACCACTGCCTGCTTGTGGCTTCTGGAGGCATCAGCCTCGTGTCGTTCCCGGTGACCATGCACAGCCAGGGAGCACCTTGAAGGTTGGCCTCGTCAACCGAGTCTTCACTCATGAGGGCGACAGTGCTGAGGAAGGGTGCTTGCCATCGCAAGGCCCCTCGCAGGGGTTGGAGCAGGGAGACGTCCCCTGGGATGCCTGTATGACAGGCGGGAAGTGGCCAGGGACCACGCCGGGGGTTCTGAGTGAGACTGCAGGCGCCCGCGGTGGGAGGGTTATAATAGGACTCGCACACCTGGGAGGGCTGCCTCGAGGGAGGATGTGAGCTGCTTCAGCCGCTCCTGGGGGCCTGTGATTCAGTTGCTTACGCAGCGGCCAGTGATAATGGAGACTAAGTTGTCAACACCGAATCAAAAGGCAGGGGGATAGACGGACAGCGGCTAGGTGGGGATCCTGAGCCGCTCTGTCTCCACCATCTACCGTCTACCACGGAAGGCCCTTCTGGGGAGTGATACCTGGTGTCCGGGTTGACCCTCACTGATGGTCTCAGGATTGGCTGACTTCACCAGATAGGCAGCTCTAGCCTTAAAAGGAATTCCTGGGCCAGCAGGGGGCATGGTGGTGAAGACTCTGGACTCCCACATGACGAAATGCGGTTTGAGTCCCAGACCCGGCAGCTTGAAAACCACGCCAGGTGCATGTGTATGCATCCCCAGAATTCAGAGAAAAGAATGGAGGAGAAGAGATTGCGGCATGGCCATTCTCCCTGGGGTGGTGATTTCTCACTTCCCTCTGTCTCTGTCTCTGGTGACTGCACTCGCCCTATGACCAAAACCTTAAAAAAGAAATTCCTAAGGCCTCTAATGTGTCACACCATCGCTCCCCACAGCTTTTGTTAATTGCCAGAGGCGCGTTCATAGCCAGAGTGAGGGAAGGCACCCTCTGTGGAGGGCGGTCACGCTGTAACCCCTCTCTCTCTCCTGTCCGGGCTTTGGGCATGCACACACACGTGCTTGGTGTGTTTTTCAAGCTGCTGGGGCCAGGATTTGAACCGGTCGGCCATGTGGGATCTGACTCCCAATGCACTGCACTTCACCGCTGTGCTATAGGCCGGCCTGTTCCTTTTTGAGATGTCACCATTCTGCAAAGTTTTATTAATGGCCACCGAGCGGTTGGACCCGCTCCTCACTCGTGGCTGAGAGCTGTGTATTTTTGCAGGCCCTAACAGTGTCCTTGGCATTTGGACAGGGCAGCCCCCATACGCTGGCCAGGACCCAGCATAGACAAGCATCCAGCACCCCGAGGTCTGCTGGGTCTTCCACGACCCCGATCTATGGAGATGGTACCAGAACTGGATTTTTTCTGGTGCCATAAAAACCTGTCATTTGCCTCATCCGCTGAAAACCTGAAGCAGCTAAAGGTATTCCTGGCCATGTGTCCTAATGTCTTTTCCAGATTTAAGGGTTTTCTTGTAGTGTCAGTTTAATACCCGCATGCGTGTTAAATCTGAGTACCGTGTAACTGATTTGTTGTGTTGGTTAGCACACGCGTGAAGTCCAGCAAAGCAACTACT